ACAAAGGTGCAGAGCAGGAGCCCAATGCTTCAGCCCTATTCCCACTGACAGCACTGTGATGGCACAAGTCAGATGTGCCAGCTCTGGGTGAGAGCTTACACAGCAGAAACCCTTCCAAACTCCTTTTAAGGTGCTTCTAGAAAGGCCAGGTGAAAGCCTGGAAACACAGGAAACCTCCATGCAGAAAGCCAAGGAGATGACATTAACATATGCACGCACAGGGACGTCTGGCTTTGTCACCAGTGACTTGAATGTCCCCAGTCCCTCCCCAAAAAACTCACCATGTTCCTCATGTCCTCTGCTCTGAGGGAGGGCAGCTGCAGCTCCAGCTGGCACAGGTTCTGGAAGCGCTCCAGGAAGTCCTGGAGAAGTGCTCTGGGTTCATCCACCAGCAAAAGAGCAAAGCGATCTGGTGAAAGAAAACCTGGGCTGTGGCACCTGCTTTCCCCCCTCCTTGTTATCCCACAGAAAGAGAGGAAACGACCAGCAAGGGTCTTCCAATAATAGTCTCCTATGTTTTAAAGGAAAAGCTGAGAGTCTCTTGTTCCTTTGCAATCATCCTTTCCAGTGCAGCACAGCTCTGAATCATGGAACCACTTAGGTTGGAAAAGACCCCAGAGATCATCGTGAAGATGAAGTCTTTCACCCTTTGAGCGTCCCATGTCATTTATCCTCCCCTATCTCCTCTCAGTTATATCCTGAATAGCATTTTAGCTGCCCAGAAGGCACAGGAAGGTAGAGAGGCAGCACCGGGTTCAGCCCTGGCCCAGAATTCAAGATCTGGGGCTCAGTTACCTGCTGAGACTGCTGAGAGCCTTTCCTATACCACTGTTTCAACATCCTTGTGATGGGTAAAAGAGGACTGCAATGGCAGTGCCTGCAGTGGCACTATGCACTGGAGAGAATGCACAGGCACAACAAGGAGGGAGAACAACAACAACAGAAAGGGTGAAAGCAAAGGGATAAACCCAGAGCTGTGCACTACGTGGGCTCTATAGGACCAACCTGGGCAGGGGCTGTCTGGCCAGAAGCAGAACTTCTCATGAGCGGTGCACAAGGACTTCTTCAGCTCCGCACAGCGCTCCTTATCTGCAAGGCAAAACTCACTTCTACACCTCTGCAGAGCCACCTCCTCAGGGAAGGGCTGGGAAAAGCAAAGCAAGGGAGAGAGGAAGGCAGAAGCCTGTGCTCTTGGCAGCTGAGATCCTCCAGTTCCTGAGGCTGTAACGTGCAGGGCCTGAAGCTCTTAGCTCCCCTCCAAAAAGAACTGGCAGCATCCTGCCCCTCCAGCCTCCCTGCAGGAAATCACATGCCAAAGGGAACAGCTGCTCCAGTGAGTTTGGATCATCTGCACAACACCAAGCCCGACCACTGCAGTGCAGCCAAAACCCCCTCCTGCTTCTGGGAGCAGTAAGCATGGAGCAGAGGAGCCTGCCACGCTGTATGCATGCAGCAGACACAGCTGAAGCTAGCCACCAGCACAGGGACTGCTTGGCTCTTCCCAATTTTCTGTTTGCCTGAGCTTCTGCCAGTCCCTGGCTAACTCAGCTGACCCCTCTGCTTGGGCTGTAGGAGCCACATCGTAGCTGGAAATCAAGCTCCCCAAAAGAATGGGTGCTGCATTTAACTTATTCACACCAAATTATTATTATTTATTTTAAACGTTTGCTTTTCTTTCCCCTCTCTGATCTTTAGGTTTTCCCAAACCAGCAGCGTGATTACTAACGGAATAATTAGGCCAAGGTTTATTTAACAAAGATAGCCTAAACAAACAGAGGGCATCAGTATTCAGAGGGAGCCCAAAGGAAAAGCATATGAAGCTCCCAGCTACGCATGATCTGCACTGCATTTGTCAGACACTGGGGCTGCACCCTCTACTGTTTTGCAGGTAACAAGAGCTGGGAGAGAAAAAATGGAAAGAAGAGAGGGCACCCAGTGGAAGCAGGTCAAAAAATGCACAGAGGGCAGACCCAGGTGAAGAAAAATAAGGGTTTGAGCAGTGATAAAGCACAGTTGAGCCCTACTTCTGTTCTGAAGCCATGGGGCTGAGAAGGAGGCATTTCTGGAGCTGTTATTGCTTTGTGCCTGTGCAGCAAAGTATCAGAGCTGGCCAACATTCTGTAGCCAGCACAGGTTAGCAGGAAGGGGAGTTTTACTGCTAGGAACCCAAAGTTGCTTAAGCAGGTCAGTAGAGGGATTTATGTATTACATGACAAAAGATGAGCACCTGCACGTGTGGACTCAGTGCCCTGCATCAAGATAAAACAGCAGAGGATCACAGCAGCAGACCAAGCAGCCTGCAAACCCTGACAAGGAGAGCAGGGGTTTTAATTAAGCTCTGCCATACGTACATTTGTTGAAGTCAAAGGTGAGCTGCAGGCTGACACAGAGGAAGGCTTGGCAGCTGGAGCACTTCAGCATGTCACATTCCACGTTGGTCCAGCCATACTTGGCACAGACCAAGGGAGACAGCTCGTGGGGTTTGCCTGCCCACTTCAGAGGGTGCTGGTGTTAAGGATAAAACCCCATGAATTACAGGCTGACCTGTGAGGTGTTCCTCATAGGGTGATTTGTCCCAAGAAGAAAATCCTCAAAAAAGATGGAGCCTGTGGGGAAACTACAAGGATGCTGACAGCAAAGCAAGGGGAGGGACGGCTGGAAATTCAGCATCAGAAAGGATATAGTGAACGTTTCTACTCTGCTGAAATAAGCTTCTTTGCTTGTTGACTCCAAGGAGAGGGCATCAATTTGCAAAGATCCATTAGCTGATTCCGACCAGTCGGACGTGTCCTTCCTGAAAGGAATAGCGAGTCAGCAAGGGAAACTTCTGTGCTGTCCTGGAAAGATTTCATCAGTGCATCAAAAATGCATAGAGCACTTCTGACCATCTCATCCTTCAGGCTCATCCTTACTGTAATCCCTCATCTAGAAATCGGTGTCTTTGAGGGGAAACACAAGTGCTGATTTTTAGTGATACCCCCCAAAGCTGCCCAACAACCCAGTGCCCACCAGTACTTTCCAGTGCTCATCCAGAAACCCCAGTACACACCACTGTCTGTTGGTGTCCCAGAGAGCCCCCATGGTGGGACTGCATGCGTTTGGGGTCAGAGAGCTGGTTCCTGGATAACTCAGCTCATTTAGGATCTTGGCAGATCATTTGCTTCCCCTTCCTGCTCTCCCACCATCTCCCACTGCTCATGACTGCCTCCCAGCACCTTCCCAGTGCCTTGCTACATTCCAGAGTTCCCACTCACCTCCTCCCAGTGTCTCCTGTGCTTCCCACAAGACCCAGTGCCCCCTCAGCACCCCCAATGTCTCCCATTTGTCCCCTCCCAGTGTCCCCCCATAATTCCCAGTCTCTCCCAGCCTGTCTCAGTGCCCTGTTTCTCCAGAACTCCTTCCTGCAACAAGACCCAAAAAGTCCTAATATGTCCTCAGCACCTCCAGTATCTCCTAATGAGTCCCAATATCCCCTCAGCACCACCGAGTGCTTCCCAGTTGCCCCCTCCCAGTTCCCCCATTTCCTTACCAGTAGCCTCTCTATGCTTCCCAGTCCCTCCCAGTGTCTGTTCTCCCAGTAACCAACCCCGCAACAATACCCAACACCTCCCATTATTCTCTTAGTATCCTCAGTTTCTCTCAGTTGCCCCTCTCATTACCCCCCCGTCTCTCTGAATCCCTCCCAGTGTCCCACTTCCCCAGCAACCTTTCCCATAACAAACCCCCCCCCCCCCGTGGGCCCCCAGCAGCCCCCCAAACCCCCCAGAGACATCCTTTGGCCTGGTGCTTTCTAATTGTCCCCTCCTAGCGTCCCTGCATGCATCCCAGTCCCTCCCAGAGCCCTGCTTTCCCACAACCTCTTACCATAACTAACCCCAACATCTCCTAATACACCCTCAGCATGCCCAGCGCCTCCTAGTGCTTCCCAGTTCCTCCCCATCACTGCCAGTCCCTCCCAGCACTCCATTTCACCAGTATTTCTCCCCACAAAAAGACTCAACACTTCTTAATACCCCTTCAACATCTCCAGCCTCCCATCATCACCCCCAGTGTTCTCACTTACCAACCCCCCCCCCCCCTATGGTTCCCAGTGCCTCCAAGCCCCCCCCCCAGTGTCCTGTGTCCCCAGAATCCCTTCCCATAACAAACCCCAACACCTCACAGTGCCTCCCTATGCTTCCCATCCCTCCCAGCCCATCTCAGCACCTCGTTTACCCATTACCCTTCCCTACAAGAGGACACAACGCCTCCTAATACCCCTCCAACGTCCCCAGTACCCTGTCAGCACTCCCAGTTGCTCCCCTCTACTGCCCCTTCTATGCTTCCCAGCCTCTCCCACTACCCCTTCCCACAAAACCCAACACCTCCCACTGCCCCCCCAGGTCTCCCAGTGTCCCTTCACAGCTCTCCCTCCAACCCCCAGCCTCCTCCCTCGGTACCGCACCACCCAGCCCCATCCTAGGCCCCACCGCTCTCCCCAAGCCCAGCCGCCGCCGCCCCCCCCCCCTCCCTCACCCTTCGGGCCCGCTGCCCTCAGAAGCGATGCCTCCATCAATGAGGTCCCGGATTTGCTGCGGGGTGACGGCGGGCGGCCTACCCCGACCCCCCCCGGCCGCCTCGGCGCTGGGCGCCGCCATCTTGGTCCCTCAGCGCAGCACTGCCCAGGGGCCGGGTGGGGGCACCGCGGCCGCACACGTTCGTTCCGCCGGTTTCCGTTCCCCCTTCTGCGCGCTCTCTCCCAGCTCGGCGCTCCACTGGCTCAGCCTGCCCGATACGCGCACCAATCGATCGCTCGGCTCTCTCAGCGCCTCACCACCTCCCAACAAGCCCGCGTCTGATTGGCAGCATCTCGGAAAACCGCTCTCTGACTGGCCAGCAAAAGGCGCAGCTCCTCCCTTACTCCTTCCCCCACTTTCCAACAAGCCCGCATCTGATTGGCAGAACCCTCAGAAGTCGATCGCTGATTGGTCGAAGGGCATGGCGGCCCTTTGGGAGGGGGGGGATTTTCCCTGAGGAGAAGCGGTCGAGGCCATGGCGGCGGCTGATGGTGGTCGGGAGCTGAGCGGCCTGCGGGGCAGGGCGGAGGACGGGCTCCTCAACCGCTTCGTGCAGCTGCCGGGGAGGCCGCACATGGCGGGTGAGCGGTGGGAGGGGCCTCTTGGGATTAGTGGGACCCTCGGGCCGGAAGGAGCCGTGAGGGCTTCAGTGTCACTCAGCTTTTTGGGGTGGGGGTGTTGGGGGCACTGGGAGCATTGGGGGGTACGGAGGGGGCTGTCGATCTTCTCGGCCCCAATATCAGTGTATTGGGGGAGAATGTAGTGTTAATCTTCAATCCCGATTTAAGATTTTTTTCTGGGGGGTGGGGGGGAAGGGGGAGGTGCCAGCTCTAATATGGGGATTTTGAGTGCTGTGCTGCCCCTCTGGGAGGATTTGGTCTTCTAGAAGTTTTGGGTGCTGTGTAAGCTTAGCCCTATTCCCTAAGAAGGAAAGCCCAGTTCCTTCTCCCCTGTTTCCCCTCAGCTCTCCCTGTGTTGGTGCACACAGATGGAGCCATGGATCCCCAAGCCCCCCCAACCACCCAGGCTCTGGGTATGGGAGTTCTCTCCTTCCTACAGCCCCAAAGCATTAAGGGAGGTGGCTGAGATTACCCCACAGTTGGAGCAGTCACCCCCATCCCATTGCTCCTGCTGTATTGGGGCACCCCTTGGTTCTGTGATGGGCCATGGGAGATGTTCCCCACCCTTTTGAATCCCATCCTTGCAAGTACATGGTGTACATTTCCCATCCCTTCAAATCCCATCCCCTGTTCCCACCTGTGCAAATGCCCAGGGCCCCATCCAACCTGGCCTTGAACTCCTCCAGGGACGGATGGGGCATCCACAGCCTCTCTGGGCAGCTGTTCCAGCACCTCTCCGCTCTCTCTGTCAAGAACTTCCCCCTGACATCCAACCTCAGTCTTCCCTCCCTCAACTTCAAACCATTTCCCCTTGTCCTGCAGTTATCAACCCTTTCAAAGAGTTGACTCCCCTCGTGTTTGTAGGCTCCCTTTAGGTATTAAAAGGCTGCACTGAGGTCACCCCTCAGCCTTCTTTTCTCCAGGCTGAACAAGCCCAGCTCCTTCAGCCTGTCTTCGTAGGGGAGGTGCTCCAGTCTCCTGATCATCTCTGTGGCTCTCCTCTGGACCCAGTCTGTCACTGTTGTGCCTGCATAACAACAAAGAAGGACGCCCTCAGGCTTTGTGTGAATGTGCTGAGCAGCTCCACACCTATTTTTGGGCCAATGCTCAGACACATTTCCTTCCTTCCTTTCGTGATAAGGCGGTATCACAATGGCTGGTTATTTTCTCACTCTCAGTTTACAGTCACTTGGCTTGACCAAATGTAACCATGCGTCTTCCTGAGATGGTTGCATTGATCCCATCTTTTGGCTAAGGGTCATTCCCAAACCTGGAATTCTGCCATCTGACAAACAGATCCTGCTCAGCTCAGCGTATGTGCTTAAAGCCAACCTCAACAAGCTTGAAGATCACTTGGTGAAAAAGTGATGGAAGATCTTTCTGGATCCATCCTTGGAGTTTTCTCCTGATCTGACACCTGTTAATGTCCTGTTTGCAGCACTCCAACGGCAGCTGCTGCATAAACATTGAGATTTAGAGACAGCTTTCTTCCCTTCCTTCCATTTCCTCCAACTGTGTTTGTTTTCTTCTGAATTCTCTCTTGGACTTTTCAAGTCACTCTTTCACCTTCCCCACCATTTAGTACCCTAGATTCTTTCTATAAAGCACGCTGTGTTTGTGTTGTTTTTCTTTTTTTTTTTGTTAGTAATCATTGTGCCAGCATGCAAGGAGCAGGTAATGTGCTCTGGAGGTGGATGCGTGCCCTCCATCCTTCTCTGCAGAGCTCTGCTGCTGCCAGTAGTGTCATTTCCAGTGGCTGTGGGCAATCTGGCTAAAACACATCACCACTTAAACACCACAGTGTGAATTCAGGTGCTGCTTTCCTCACATTCACCCTCTGCCATTTACTGTACAACCACGGATAAGTTTTGAGGGCGTTTTCATGTCAGAATTGTGGAGAGCTACTTTCTCCAGAGGGTTATTTCTGATGGTCATTTGTATATAAAGATTCTTTAAGACATCTGAAATCCTATGTTGGCTATGGGAAAGGAAGGAGCTATATTTAATTCTAAGCTTTAGAACGATGCAAAATGTCAAATGTAGGCATTGTGTGTTTTGTTCTCCCCACTGGAAATCTTCCTGTCCACCTTGAGAATGAATGATCACGATACCAATATGTATATACATTTTGTTCAGTGTTTTCATCACACTCCTGGGGTTAAGTGGGTAGAAAGAAGCTGGAGACCTAAATATCTTTATATCTTTGCTCCTTCCATGCTCAGCGTTTATATTTGTGCCTTGAGCTATAATTTTCCCAGTGATATTTGCATTTTTAGGGGAAACATTTCTTCTTTTGCTCTGGTTTCTCACTAAGGATGGTTATTTCCTCGGGGCTCCTTTGCTCTGAGTGTCGTTTGAAGCTCACTGTGTGAGCTGTGTCCATTCTGCTCTGCTTCTGATCGATCATCCTCAACGTTTTTCTTTATTTTTGGCCCTTTCCCTCGTGGGAAATACCAAAAATCAATTGCTTTCTTGTATGAATGCTTGAAATGCAAAGATGTGTGGAAGCACAGAGAGAGACAGCCCTGTTCTGCCCATCGATCCGAGCTCTCATCATGTGGGATGATGGATCCTTCTCCAAACTCCCCTTTGGAGGCTTCAGAAATGCAAGAGGCTGCTGGGAGGCAGCTGTGATCTTTATAATGGAATCTACCACGTGAATTACAAACGTATTTTGTTCAGGCCAGTGTGAAGAAGCTGAAGCTGAAAATGTGTTGGAGTCAATACTGACTTGTTCTCTTCTCTCTCCCAGGAGCTAGCATTGCTTAGGCTTCAGCCCTCAGCCTGAATGTCCTTCAGAAGTCTTGCTGAAGTCATGTGTGGGAAGGGAGATACTGAAACCTATTCCATATGTTGAACAGAGTCCTGATATTGTGTTAATGAAGCCTTAAGAAGCAGCAAAAAGGATGTGTGCAGGAACCTTAATTATTCAGCAGCAGCATTTGAAAAGATGTTACTAAAAGACACGCTGTATTTGTTAGCTTTGTGTCCTCTACTTATTATTTTGTGTTTCCAAAACGCCCCTGATAGCTGTCAGATCTGCTCCAGGAGTAATGAAGGAAGCTTTGTTCCATGTGGTCTGCAGGAGGGGAGAATCACAGAATGGTTTGGGTTGGAAGGGACCTCGAGGATCATGAAGCTCCAACCCTCTTCCTGCATGCAGGGCCACCAACCTCCCCATTTCACAGCAGCCCAGGCTGCCCAGGGCCCCATCCAACCTGGCCTTCAACACCTCCAGGGATGGACGGGGCATCACAGCCTCTCTGGGCAGCTGTTCCACCACCTCACCACTCCCATAGCAAACAACTTCCCCCTCACATCCAACCTCAATCTTCCCTCTTGCAATTTCAAACCACTTCCCCTTGTCTTGCTATCATCTACACTTCAAAAGAGTTGACTCCCTTCCTTTTTATAGGCTCCTTTTAGGTCCTGGAAGGCTGCAATGAGGCCACCCTGCAGCCTTCTTTTTAAGTCAAGATGTGAATCACACATACAGTGAAGAGGATCCATGGCTGTGTGTGCAAATGGTTCTCATCAGTAAATACGAAAAAGCAAATAGTCCCTAAGTTCTGAGAGGAACATCTCTCTGGATGCAATTCTTTTAACCAGAATGGAAATTGAAGTGAATTTTCAAATGCATCTTGGTTAGAAAATGCACAGAATGCTTGCTTGTCCTTGAGTTGTAGGCACTTTGGCAACTTTTCTTCTTTTCTGAAGGTTAGAAGCCAAACGTTTCTCCTGAATTCACCCTGAGTTTTAACTGTGTGTTGTCAATCCTGAACATCAAGACCAGCTGTGCTTTTAATTCTTGTCATCCATGTGGGATGACGTGCAGTGTGTTCACCTCATTGATCAGTGATGAGCAGAGGTCGGTGCCAATACCTCCCACCAGTTCCCTGAGTGCATTTAAACCTCCTATTGCACTCCAGCTTCAGATGGGTCTCCAACTGTCCTTCAAGACCAAAAGAGGGAGGCCAAAGTTCCTCAAGGGCTCCTGTGGTGGATTCTGGTGCTCTGGCTGTGCCAAAGGGTAATTTTTGGTATCCCTGGCAAGCAGAGCTTAGAAACAAGGCTTCTTTGCTCCTGTAGGATCTAGGAATTACTTTTCTTTGGCTTTGCTCAGCCTTGGCCACTGCTCAGCCTTGTGCCTGTCCATGGTGAGGTCGACCCGGGGCTCTTCTCATTCTCCTTTCTGTGTTTCTGAGGAGGTGATGGGGTCTGGATCCTTCCTGGGCTGCTGAGAACAAGGGAGGCAGCAGCAGCTGTGAGTTTGCAACCTCTGGAGAACGGCATTGCATCGCTTTACTGGGAATTGATAATGAGGGATTGTAGTGAGGAAAGAAAACTCCCTTCAAAAGTAAAATCAAGTCCTACAGAAGCTGATAGAGGCAGATCTCAGTCTCTGCCAAGAGGTTTGACACTGATTAATACATTAATTTGTTTATCTGGCAGCACAGTCCTGATAAGAAAAGGGCAGCTTCAAGTAGGCTCCCAAAACAAATTTATATTCAAGTCTGCTGTTGCTTATTTCTATTCCTAAGAAATGCTTTCACCTAATCAGACCTATTCCCCTTCTTTTAAATGCAAACAAACAAACAAAGCCAGCCAGCTGGTAGCTCACAAACTGGAATAGCAGGTATCCTGCTCTCCTTTAACCCAGCTGGTGAGATGATGCCAGCCTGGTTTTTTTTTCCTGCCCTCGTGAAAGGGAGGATAATCAGATGGAAAGAAAATGCCTTTGTTCTCTGCAAGTCTTTGTGCTGCTCTGTGTGTCAGTGCCTCTCACCTTACCCTTCTTGCTGCTGCTGATGCAGTGGCTGAGCTGAATCTTCACTCACAGTTTGATTTTCCTCCTGTGTAACTTGGTGCAGGTGTTGGAATACAGCAGAGCAATCCCTGCAGGTTGGCTGTAGCTGTTGACACACACTGGGCATGCTGATAGCATTTAATCTGCTGCATAGCTCCAAGAAATCTGCTGATTACTTGAAAGCAAGAAGGCTTTTTCATCTTTTCCAGGCTTTCTATGCAGTAGTGTGGAGGCTGTGGAGGCTGCAGTGCTGGAATTTAATAAACTTCCCTCCTCTAAAATGAAGGGTGTCTTTAAGTTCATGACATCTCTCTTCTCTCCATTCTGCATTCAGAGCTTTCTGAGAGGTGGGAAGCATCTCCTGCATGGATGCTGCACCGTGTCACCTCAGGAGCAGACGTTCACACTGCCTTTTTTCCTTACTCTCCTCTTGTTCTGTCAATTCCTTACGCTGCAGAGATATTCAATTAGGAATCTGCTCTAATGAAGTCAACCTGGGACATCCCAGCAGCTCCCTCTGAAGTCACTTAATGAATCCCTTGGGGGAGGTGAATGTAACAGGGTGTTAACAGGTCAGTGTGCAGTGACAGCCAGCACGTTGCTGTCAGATAGCTCAGCCCAAAATTAGAACTGTCCTCCTTCTGGCCCTGCTCTGCTGTTTCAGCTTCATTCCATTGCTGTGGCTGCTCGTTCCCTGTAAATTTTACCATTCCCACTTTTGCCTTAAGGAATCATAGAATCATAGAATGGCCTGGGTTGCAAAGGACCACAAAGATCATCCAGTTTCAACCTCCCTGCTGTGTGCAGGGTCACCAACCAGCAGCCCAGGCTGCCCAGAGCCACATCCAGCCTGGCCTTGAATGCCTGCAGGGATCCAGAGGCATCCACAGCCTCCTTGGGCAGCCTGTTCCAGTGCCTCAGTGCTCCCAGTCTCCTGGAATTAAGCTCTCCCATCTCTGTTCTTTGCAGCCCCCTTTGAAGACCATCAGGGAACACCCAGAAGAAGGCACGAATTGGGTGAGCTCCCACTGGTCAAGAGCAAAATTCCTTCATTTTCTTCCTTCGCTTTCAGTTTATTGCTTTTCTAAGTGGGGAATCACTGTGAGATGCAGTTATTACTGGAAGGATTTCAAATCCCTTAGAACTCTGCCTCAAGGGGTTTGCTTGAGTCCTGCAGAACAGCTTAATTCTGCACAAGAGTTAGAGTTTCCAACAGCAGCAAAGTGGGAACGTGATGAAACACATCTGCCCATGCTAAGCTGAAATCCAGAATTCAGTCTGGATTAATCACTGATTTCGTCTCATTTGTTATTGCTCTGCACATCTGATTCACTGTCTGATAATTGCAATGAGCTGTAAGAAGCATGATGGTTCCTCAGTAGGCACTTCTCTGGGTCCTGTTCCATCATAGAAGTCCATAATAGAGCAGGGAGGGCACACGGGTGGTGCGTGGATGAGGGAATCTTGGGGGATCCACTTTGGTTTTGAAACCTTCCAGGTCAGTTTGAAATGTTTCATAACTGGATCCCTTTGTTCTCAGACCTAATTGGTTTTCTTCCCTTCATCTTTCCATTCATTGCATGGTCCTCTGTCTCACTTCTGTCCCTGGCACTATGCTAGACTCTTACTGAGCTCTGAATTAGAACAAGCTTGGAATTACTTTTTCATCACTTACCATTTCAGGCTTCAATTTATTGCTGTTTGGGTTTCCCTGGACTGGCTGCCATGTGTGTGTGTCGGTCTTTTGGCCTGTTCTGGTTGAGTTCTGAGCCTCAGTTCCCTGCACTCCACCTGTATCGTTGTGGGGAAGAGGCGGAGGGCTCCCTTTAGGGAAGGGCTCCTTGAGGCACAGCTGCAGAGATGGGCTCCCTGCAGCACTCCCTCCCTGTGCTAATGCCTTTGCTGTTGACTTCTTGCTGTATCAAACTTGTGTTGCATGCCGTGGAAGAGCCTAGCTGAGATGCAAGGCACTGGGAGCACTTGAGCTGTCTGTGTTCTTGCTCAGGTGTGGATCTGGCATCAGAGCTGTCACCTCCTGGATGCAGATGCGTTTCCTTGCTGTTCCACACCAGCTGCTCCTGCTGGAGGACCACCCCAGTGCGGTGTCCTCAGACAGGAGTTCAGCTCCTTTGCTGTTTGTTCACAGAGCTGTTCTGTCTTTTTGCTGCAGGCCAGAGATCTCCACCAGCGAGAAGCGGCCATCGCTGCGTGGCAGATAATGCCAATTTGTATGTGTTTGGAGGCTACAATCCTGACTACGATGAGTCTGGTGGGCCAGAGAACGAAGACTACCCACTGTTCAGGGAGCTCTGGCGGTACAACTTTGCTACAGACACGTGGCACCAAATGGGCACTGAGGGCTACATGCCCAGGGAGCTGGCCTCCATGTCACGTACGTATGGAAATCCAATTCCTATGCACCTAAGCCTGAAGCTATTTTAATCGGTGTCCCTGATGGAATGAAAAACCAGACAAGAACTGGGAAATCTGGATCCTGTTTCCAACTCTTGTGCAATTAGGCCTTGAGTTTGGAATGGGATTTTTGATTATTTCTTTTTCTCCTTTGCCCTTTTGCTAGGGTTGAGGAATTAAAAATGTAAAATGCAAGAGAGAGCCTTTGGAAATTTAGCTTAACAGTTGCAAGGCCTCTGCTTTCAGTGGATAGATGCTTGCTGCAGTCAGACAGAGCACCCAAAAATAGATCCCGTTGTTCACTAGCCATTTTTTAAAGTAAGTTTTTGGTTGCCATGGTTTTAGCTTGCATTCTTTCTCTTTTAGAGCATTTCAAGGCCATAAATGCACAGTGTGAGTTGTAGGGTATTTGAACAACAACCAATGCTTGCTGCCTTCTTCCAGAGTTCTGTTTCACTGCATTTCACTGCAACAAACATCTCTGCCCTGTCTGTCTCTCCTAGTTGTATTGCATGGCAACAACCTGCTCGTGTTTGGGGGCACTGGAATCCCATTTGGGGAAAGTAATGGCAACGATGTCCACGTCTGCAATGTCAAGTACAAAAGATGGGCCCTGCTCAGCTGCAGAGGAAAGAAACCCAATCGGATCTATGGCCAGGTAGGAGGGAAGGCCCTCTGTCAGACACACTGCGTGTGCTGTGTGTCCTTCCTTTGGGAGGCTGGGACTCTTTCTGTTTCAGTGCTGATGCTCTGTGTCCTTTCTAACTGGTTTCTCTCTGCCTTCCAGGCCATGGCCATCATCAATGGGTCTCTGTATGTGTTTGGTGGAACAACTGGTTACATTTACAGCACCGACCTGCATAAACTAGACCTCAACACCAGAGAGTGGATCCAACTGAAACCAAACAACATGTCCTGCGACATGCCAGAGGAGAGGTGAGGAGAGCTTTTAAACTGGGAAATCACCACCTTTGCTGAGAAGCTGAGACAGTACCGTCAGAGCAGTGCTTTTGGCTGTGAGCCTTGCACAAGCAGTGCTCCAGCATTATGATATGCACAGGGGTGTAGGGAGGGGGTGTGAAGCCTCTGCCAGAACAATATGCAGTGCCAGAACAGAGCTGGGAACTTGAGGCAGCTGTTGAGTGCTGAAGAGGCTCCAGCTGATCCCTATGCCTTGCCTCATTCTGTAGCAAGCTTTCAGTTGGTGACCTTCTCAGTGAGAAAAGGGAAAGAAGTGTTAAGGACTGCCACGGTGCTCTATAAACTGTTGTACTTGAGATCTGTGAGACTCTGCTCTCAGAAGCTCTTCCCAGCTCTTGAGGTGCTGCTTAGGTTGCTCATGAAAACTTCCACATCTGAAAACTCCCAGCCTGGGGGTCTGATACAGCGTAGCCATGCTTGGGATGTCTGTTTCAACCACTCAGATTTGTTAATGTTTCCAGAAAGTTTTGTTGCTGCTCACTTGCATTGATTTCTTGTGCTGCTAAATATCCACCTCTGCACACCTTCAGGTACAGGCATGAAATTGCACACGATGGTCAAAGGATTTATATCCTGGGAGGTGGAACTTCCTGGACAGCTTATTCCCTAGATAAGGTAAGGTGGTGAGAAGCCTCCAGAGCTTGCCTGAACACAGTTTTGCAGTGAAGTGTAACCAGCACAGTCACTTCATCTGTTTGGAGAGCTTTGATTTTCAAAAAGATAATGTTAATCAAAAATACATTACTGGGAGCAGATTTTGCTCCAGTTTCTGTAAAGGTTGGGATTACCACAGACATGTCCTGTTAGAAATGGTGAATCCGTGGTAACCCATCACCACACACATCTGCAGAATAATCTGTTGTAGATCTGTTATCAAAGATCCTCATTTAAGAGCACTTAGGATGGAAATGTTGTTAACTATGCCAAAACAGGAAAAGGCCAAAGAAAGGAGCTCCTTGACTTTTAAGTTTGCATGTTGATCATGGTGACTCTTTTCTTGTCTTCCTTTTGTGTGGTAAACATTTTTCCCCATTAAAACTGGGAGAGGGAAGAGTGAATTCTTTCTGGGGGCTGAGAGAATAAATGAAGAAACTTTAAATAGTGTCCCACTTCCAGAAAGATGAAACTATGAAACAGTGAACTCCCTGTGTCTAATTTGTCTAATTTGGTTACCCTGTGGCTGCGTTGTAGTTCTGGCAGAGCCAAGAGGATTTAACAATTCTCTTTTTTCCATTCAGATCCATGCTTACAACCTTGAAACCAACACCTGGGAGGAAATTGCCACAAAACCTCATGAAAAAGTTGGTGAGTCTGCAATTTCACATCATATCCTGTACACCAGAGAGTGGCTGGGGTGTGTGAAGGTGCTGTTAGCTGGCCATCTGGAAGCCTTTCTTGTAACCTTGTGGAGACTTGCACTGGCTTCAGGACCCTGCTCCTTTGTAGCTTCAGCAGTGAGAATTAACCCAGCTGAAGTACAGCTGGCACTCTGGCTTCTCTCCCTCCTGGATAAGGTGAGGTGATAGGGGCTGGCTCTCACTGCAGAAGGAGGTGCAAATCTCAGCTCCCTCTGAGGGAGCAGGCACTGTTCTGCTTAGCAGAGAGACTTCCCCTGAATAGCCAGAGGTGAGAGCTGGAGTTTGTGAGGTGTAAGATTTTGGCACATCTCATCCTTCCCTGGAGTGCAAAGAGGGGCCAAACGTCCCAAAGCAGCTGCGTGTCATAGCTGTGACAGTGGGAAAGCAAAAGCTCTTGTAAGTGAAGAAAAAAAGTGATTCTTGTCTGTGAACTTGTGCAAGCTCTTTAAAAGCAGCAATAGCTGACATCTCTTCTTTGCTATGGGAGTGGTGAGGTGGTGGAACAGCTGCCCAGAGAGGCTGTGATGCCCCGTCCATCCCTGGAGGTGTTGGAGGCCAGGTTGGATGGGGCCCTGGGCAGCCTGGGCTGCTGTGAAATGGGGAGGTTGGTGGCCCTGCCTGCAGGAAGAGGGTTGGAGCTTCATGATCCTTGAGGTCCCCTCCTACCCAGGCCATTCTGTGATCTCTTTTCTCATGTCTAATTTTTTTTGTTTTTCCTCCTCAGGCTTCCCAGCAGCTAGAAGATGCCATAGCTGTGTTCAGATCAAAAATGGTAAAGTCTTCCTCTTGAACATTGGTGTATCTTGCTACAGCCTAGCATTGGGAAGCCCATCTCTTCAGCCTGAGAGATGCTGGCCTCCAGAGCATTTGAGAGAACTGCAGGGCATGCATGTCTTTTCTGAAGGAGAATTCCTTCTTTTAACCATCCTTAACCTGTCCAATTGGCACTGCTCTTCATATGAGGGAGCAAATCTATTCCTGCAATAGACAGTACTGTCACTCTGGAATTCTGTAGTATTTTACACAACCTACAGATTCATGGGGCATTCCCTCAGTGGGGTTTGCACTTCTCCCATAGCTTTGTTGTCCTCTGAGAATGCTTTTTTCCAATCTTGATGATTATGCTGCTCATGATGGACTGAAGAAGCAGAGTTGATCCTCCTCAAAATTCCTCCTGAATGCTTCAGCGTGCTGAGCCATGGAAAAGAGTGATACAAGGAGTTATATTTCTCAGGAGGTGAAACAAGTGTTGATCCTGAAAGGGTTTTAGAAAGGTGATGCACAGCACCTTCTGCAGTTCCTGAAGGAAGGTAAGCATTGTGAGTTTCCTCTCTCTGCAGATGTGTTTGTTTGTGGAGGCTACAATGGAGAAGTGATTCTGGGAGATGTTTGGAAGCTGAATCTGCAGACTTTCCAGTGGGTCAAGCTCCCAGCTGCCATGCCTGAACCAGTGTATTTTCACTGTGCTGCTGTCACACCGGTGAGTGACTCATTTCTTTCCTCTGTAGCTGAAGTTGGAGCCATTTGTCCCAGTGTTTGTGTGGGCTGTAAATAGAGCTGAGCAGATGTTACCAAGGAGGTGACCTCAGCTGCACGCAGCATCCTGGGGGAGGCTGAGAGCTGCTCTAAGGTTACTGCATTGACTTCGTATGCCTGCAGCTGTTTGAAGAGCTGCAGCACACAGCATGTTCTGCTTTCTGAAAGCAGCAGTGGGGGATTTTAGCTTTTGAAGTGCCTTAGCTCTGGCTCCAGGAAGTAACTCAGTATGTGAACATCCGTTCCTGTTTGCAAAAGGAGAAAAAAACCAAACACACGAGTACTCCCCCCAAAACTTCTCACCCTGAACTTGGCCTACAGAGCACAGGTAGGGCTGAAAAAATAGCAAACATTTTAAAAGTATAGGAACACATGCAAACTGGTAAACACGTTTATCAGAAAGGAGGTAGATGAGTGCAGGAATGCCCTTTATTTTCCACTCCCTTTGCACTTGTGTGGTTCCTGGAGCAGGGTTCTGTTGTGCTGCTGAGCCAGCAGAGGGAACATAGCATGGCTTCTAGCTTTAAGAAAACATATTTGGCTAGAATCATAGAATAGCTTAGGTTGGAGGGGACCTTAAGGATCACTGAGTTCCAACCTCTCTGCTGTGGGCAAGGTTGCCAAATACAGCTTTATAATAATCCACTCCCACTCTTAAAATTGATTCCTGGGGTTAGAATTCACCGACAACAAAAGACACAGCAAAGCACTCTGAGCTCAGGCAGAAATCCTTAGGAGGAGAGAAAAGTGCCCTTCAGCAGCACGACCTCATCTTAGCTACAAGAGGGAGCATGGCTCAGGCGGTGACACTTCTGTTCCAGGCACAGAGAGGTGGTCAAAGCCTGGTGTTGTCCTTCAGCATGTGCCCACATTTCCTGCCCCCATCTAACCCCTTTTCCCCTCCTTTCCTGCCTAGGCTGGCTGTATGTACGTTCACGGAGGAGTGGTCAACATCCATGAAAACAAACGGACTGGCTCGCTGTTTAAAATGTGGTTGGTGGTACCCAGCCTGCTGGAACTGTCGTGGGAGAAGCTCCTGGAGTATTTCCCTCACCTAGCAACCCTCTCCAGATCTCAGCTTTTGCACCTCGGACTGACGCAGGGACTCGTCGAGCGGCTAAAATGAGAACCCCTGCTTGTGCCCCAGTCACACTACGTCCAGCAGCCCCTCCTCCCTCCCCTATTTATGGATACTGTGGTTGGTCTTGCTAAGAACACAGAGGAACCTGCTCAACGCCTTACTCAGCAACTGCATCGATGCCTTTCTAGAAGTTTTTAATTTGTTGGAAATCCACTTTTTATTTATGGAGCTCTGAATGGGACTAACCCATGCCATCTATCCATTATCAGCACATGCTTGCAACTTAACTGGGGGGAGGGAGGACAGTGCTTAATGAATGTCTGAGATCCATGCTTACCTGTGGTGCATTTGACTTCGTACTTTCACAAGCTGCATCTAACAAAGGACAGCCAACATGGAAAAATGCCTGCTGGGGGTGATGCTCACGCCCCTGCTGCCCAGCCAAGCTCTCCCTCTCTAAAAACAGTGAACTCTTGCAGCTGGAGGGCTTTAGTGGGTTATGTGGGCTTCAAAGTATGGCCACAGTGCTGGAGGAGGCAGTGAGCAAAGCTCATGCTGCACAGCTGCTGTGGTGCAGTGATTTGAAGCAGCCACAGCTGTGCTCTTCGCCTTTTCACAGGGAAAGGTTTGCTTAAAGACTGCTTAAAAGCTGCCACTGAATGGACTACTGTGTAGTTTAGTGGAGGTGGTGAGAAAGGAGTCTGCTGAACTCACCAACAGCTTATGCCCTTGCTGGAAGGAGGGTGAATTAGGCACTTTTCAGCACTGAAATCCATATGCTGATTTCTCCCTTCCCTGCCCTCAAGAACATTTCCTTACCCTCTTAAAACCCCCCTCTTTGACTCAGTGCTGCACAGTGAGCACAAGGTCACAAAGAATGTTCTGCTGCTTTTCCTAAAGATGCAACTTTTCCTAAAATACAATTATACAATTGAAGCACTGACCTCACAAAGCATACATCTCCCTTCTGGGGACTGATGGAGCTTGTGGGGCAGTTAAGTCCCTCTCTGCAGCACCATACTTCCAAGCAAGATAACTAGAGTGTTACTGCCAGAGCACACCCACCTCCTTAAGGGAGAAGGAGAGGATCCAGTGTCTCCACCAGATATCATGGAGGGGAACGTAGAGCTTCCTGGTGTGTTTGAGGCCAGCGCACACAATGCATGCAGAGAGCATCACTCCCCATCCAGCTGCTCACACTGGAGGACGTCCCCATGGAGCAACACCTGCATGGGGCTGTGGGGAAGGAGCTGCATTGCCTGTATTTATGTGTCTGTCAGTGTTGAGCTTTGTTTTTTTTTTTTTTGTCTTTTTTTTTTTGTTTGTTTTTTTGTTTTTTTCCCTCCCCCCCTTGCAAAAAGATAATAAACCCATCCAGGTCACCCACTTTGTCCTTTCACTTTCACTGCTGCTTTCTCCATTGGGAACAAACAGCTCCTCATTGGCATCATGGTGCTGCCACCCTTTACCCCTAGATGGAACCAGCTCACAGCTGGACATAGCTCTGACCCTATTTAAAAGCAGGGATGAGCCAGGACAGTCACACCAACATCAGGATGGCCCCAGACCTCTCTGACAATCTCAGGTTGCCCTTCCAACTCTTTGCCCTGCACGGTGATGGTGGATCTAATCTGAGTAACAGGTGATGGATGAGCATTGCCCTGTTCCACTACCAGGGCTCCATCCATGCCCACTCACTGGCACCAGCCTTGATGGTCACCATATCACCCCAAGACCATCACTAACCTTTGGAGGAGTCCAGACAGATGACCAAATGGAGAAGGGAGCTTCTTTCTGATTTGTACAAAACTGCTTTAATGGCAAAACAGCTGAAAAAAAAGAGACATTCAGTGCAGCTCCAGTGCCATCACAAAGCCCTGTGAGATGGCCCAGGCCATAACCCCTTCCAGACCCAGGAGAAACCAGGATCCCCAAGGCCTGGCAGGATGAGGGCTCTTCTCAAGCACCATCTCTCAGTGCAAGAATCCCAGGGAAGGTCCATCCTTGAGACTACACCAACGTCCTTCAAGACTCTCCCACTGAGGGTATTTTCCTTCCAGCCACAGACGTGAGCCAGAAATTCTTCTGTGAAACGTTGGGGCACAAAGGCTCCATCTGAGTGCAAGAGTGCTTCTGTTGCTGCTTTCCAGCCCAGATCCAGCCCAGCCAAATCCCTGAGATGCTGGATCACGGCACACACCAAACCCAACGATGGGCTTGAAGGAACCCAACCAAGTCCCAAACTCAGCAGCCACTGGGTGATGGGGCAAAGAAGTACACAGCCAGGAGGATGAAGTAGACCATCACCAGCACTGTGCCTATAGGGCAGAGAGCAAGTAAGAGAGAGTTATGTCCTGCAGTAGGGAGGGTGGTCACATTTAGGATCCTTGGGTGGGACACTACTGTTTCTTAGGACCTCTGGGTTCATGTCATAGGGAAATTGTGTGCAGTCTTGGTCAAGTCAAAGCTTAGAGTTGCTCAAACCACCCTGAACATGGAGCAGCACCAAGTGGTGACTCCAAAGTCATCTCTAGGAGCTCCTCAGCCCTGTTACTGCAGGGACAATGGAAACACCAGAACCCACACTGACCTTGGAAATAGTCACATTTGCCATCCATGAAGATGTAGTTCATGAGCACCACGCTGAACATGCTGGCATAAACATGGAGGTCGCTGAAGACAAGTGTGAAGTTTGTTGGCTGCAAAATAGAGAGCGTTGTGCCTTCGTGGCCAGCCAAGACAGTCCTTTGCCAACCCCAAATGGAGACTTGGGTACACCCAAATCCATGCCATACATCCCTTGGGCAGGGAATGGCACAGGCTGGGGTAGGAGGCATCTGAATCCACTTCCCTTTGCACTGAGCAGATGGGAGAGGACATGGAGGACAGTGGTTGTGCCCTTGGCATGTGGTGTTGTGTGACCTTCCCAAAGGGGTTGGAGTCACTGGGCCTGTCCTGGGACTACTCACATAGAAGATAGTGAAGAGCACCAGAATGGGAATCTGGAGCATGCAGACCTGGACAGCGATGCAGTTTCCGATCTCGATGCTAGGAGAACAGAGGGGTTTGTTAAGCACTGTATCTCCAACAGCCCACGGGAACTCTGTTGGGTTTAAGACAAACCCACCTCAGGGAGCCAAGTTACAGAGCAGAACCTGGTTCTGACCCTTTTATGTGCCTTTAAACCTTCTCTTAACAGAGAATATGCGTAAGGCAGCCCGTAACTGACACCTCCACAGAGCTACAGGGCTAAGATGGAGCACAGGGATCACACTGGAGGAGGACACCCCAAAAATCCACCCACTCACCTCAAACTCAGGTTATTCTGTAGGGCAAACTGGATGCCATTGACAATCTCCGGTAGCTCAGGCACCATTGCCAGCACAGTGACACCAATGAAATACTGCAGGGAAATGGAGGTGTCAAAGCATGTCTTGATCCTGACAGCTTCCCAACGCTAGGAACATCTTCCCCATTCCAAAGGGTTTGCTATGTAGTGAAAGCATGTCCCCATCCCCTAACTGGGAGATACCCAACCCAGAGTCCCAACTGGAGGGCAGATGAGGAGGAGGCCCAACCTCCAGGTCCCCATCCATCCCCCAGTCAAATGAACACAATTCCTATCTATTCCCAGTGGAGGAATCCAACTAGATCTCCACCCCCACCTTAGCTAGAAGGGGCTCAACCCAGAGATCCTACCAACCCCCGGTGGGGGAGGTCCCCCCTTAACCTGAAGGGGCCCAACCATTCCAAGAGTTACAACCTTAAGGTTTGTAACTCCCCAGTGAAAGGCCTCAACCTCCAATTCCTCCATTCACTCCCTGGTGAGGTGACCCAACCCAGAGGTCCTCCACCCATCCTCTGGTTGGAGGGACCCAATCTGGAGGGCTCTCACCCCTCATGAAGGGGTCCCAACCCAGAGGACTCCAGAAATCACCCAAAACGCATCCCCACACTCACCTGTGAGATGGTAGAGTTAGTGAGGATGGGACTGATGTGCTCCGTTGCCAGGTCAGCACAGGCTGACATACAGAGAGTGGAGAGCAAGAGAATGACCAGTGCCCGCCAGCGGGACCAGTGGACCACAGCACTGTGGTGGTGGCCAGGCACTGGGGAAGAGCGGACACAAGGATTAGGCACATGGACAAAACAGGCCCCAAAGATGGGTATCCTGTGGTCTGGGGACACTCACTGTGACAGTCACTGATGTGGATGTCGTAGATGTGCGAGTGAGTTTTCAGGGTGAAGAAGAGGCCAATGAGGTACGCAGCAGGGAGCAGGAGGGACACCGTGTACACCAGGGGTCTGCAGGACAAGATGCTTGGCGTCACCAGGGCCTCCAAACCAAGACCCTGATGGCACCTCTGTGCTGGCTGGGGATGGGATGTAGGATCAGAACCCTTTGGGGTGGCACAGAGGGACACCAGCCCTGGAGGGGACGTAGGGCAAAATGCAAACCCCAAGAGCTCCAGAGACCCCACGCCAACCCCAGCAGCCATCCCCAGTCCTACTCACTGGACATGGCTGTAGTAAAGAGTGCCGTTGTTCTCCATCTGCAGAGAGAGAATATCAGTTATGACCCAGGGATGCAGGACAGTCCCACTGCCACCATGATGGCCAGGTAGACTCAGGGTGTCCTCAGCTCTGCTCACCAGATCAAAGTGGCAGTTGTGGCAGAGGTAGTGGCCCAGTGGGTTCTGGGTGACATTGTGGCACTCGCCACACACCAGTTTCCCATACACCTTGGAGAAGAGCGTTGGGGCAAAGACACCTATGGAGACAGAGGGATAGGAGGTGGGTGCCATCAAGGTAGAACCCCACCGAGCCTTGGGGACACTTCTGTCCCCACCTCACCTCCAACAGAGAGGAAAAGCAGGGCCGAGCTGACACCTGCTGACCGGCTGTTGAAGCGCTGCTCCTGATGTCGGATGCCCCCTATTACCATGCACAAACCCTTTGGGAGAGGAAAAAAATACCCCAGAAAAAATGAAATCAATCAGCACTTTGCTCACCCAACCATAGAGACCAGAGGCTCTTCACACACCAGCCCAGCTCACCGGGACAAAAAGGACACATCCCACCAGTGTCCCCGTCAGCGCTGACTTGACGATCTCAGCATAGCAGCTGTTGCCCTCACGCGATCCTTTGATGAGTGCCGTGATGTAGAAGGTGAGCTCCGTGATGGAGCCAAATGTGGCGTTCACCACTGCACCCACTGCAAAGTTGCTCTGGGCTGAGATACTGGGAGAGGAAAAGGAGGATGTCAGAGGGGTCAACGTGTGTCCCTACTGCCACCCCTCAGCCCCACATCCCCGCTGACCTGGCAATGGCCATCCCAATGTAGTAGGAGAGGGGCATGATGGAGAGCAGCGCCAACGTGAACTTGACCGGAGAGCTCGTCAACTGGTTGTGGCTGTCCACATAGCCCAGCACCAGTGTCACCAGCACCAGTGGCAGCAGGTCTGGGATAGATAGTCAAGGACATGGCCCTATTGGGGTGGGATTTGGGGTCAGGACCCCCCAACATCCTCCCTCTACCCCCAAAATAGAGAAAGGATACTGACGGCAAAAACATTGATGCCATCCACCGCATATTTGTAGTAGTAGGGATTGACAGCACGGTAGCAGCACAGGATGACCTCCCCATCCAGCGGCACCTCCGTCTGCAGAAGGACAGTTTGGTGACCCCCAAACCCCACCTTGGATAGGGCACCCCCAACCCCACGTAGGGCAGCACTCACCATCCTCAGACGACGGATGCACACCCGCTCTGGGGGCAGCAGAAGGACACGGACAGCTGTGCGGGCGCTCAGCTTGGCCACAGGGATGAGGAAGACAAGGAGCCATGCAGTAACACACACTAACCCATGGGCTAGCGCCAACAGCGGGTAGCCCAGGCACAGCCACACCACAGTGCCAGCACGCTGCTAAAAATAACAGGATGGCATTTAGGGTTTTGCCACAAAATATCCAACCCCACTGCAATTGAGGCACCCATAGGTTCTATCCCCACAGCAATAGGGGTTCCAGCTGTCCCCAAGCTCAGAAACTCACCCAATATCCTTCGTCCACCCAACACCGTGGGTTCCAGCGATGGGGTGCAGGGCCACCAAGCAGTGCTGAGCTCTCTGTGTCAGCCTCACACACACCCCGTGCCTGTCGGGACTTGGGGGTCTGGAGGAGATTGGGATGATCAAGGTCCAGTTTGGGGCACATTTGTCACCTCTCCCCCACCCCCCATCAGATTTGGGAAGCACTGTTACCTCTGCTTTCTGAATCACTTTCCCAAAGGGCCAAAGGAAATAGCCAGCAAGATCCCAGCAGAGTCGCCCTGTAGAGACACAGGGTTCAGCTCCATTGGGAACACAAGTGCCCCATCCCT